TCTTTTACTTTTCCGGGTCACACGGACGTTTACGTTCCATGCATGTACGTTTGCATTCCATATGCACAGACGACTCCTTCTGGGGGGCACAATGTCGATGCTGGAGATCCGTGTGCGGCAATGGGTGTTTCCGCGAGAGAAGTTGCGTGGAACACCGGCGGAGAACGTGAAAGCGCTCTCCAAAGTGTGTAACGCGAAGTAGTTTTTGAGAGTGCCAAACCAAGGTGCGCAAGTGAACGCCCCAGCCTGACTGGGGGCGTGACGAATGCAACCCCGAAACGACCAGGCACCTGGTGGCGTCGTTCCCATGTAGTTATGCATATATATATATAATATATCATGTATTTAATTATCTTTAATAGGTAGATAGATCACACACATATATATATATAGGTATGAGAAGTCAGCTGGGCACCACCAGTCATGAACCGCGGCATCTCTGCCCTGCCGTCGCCCAAGCTTCGGGACGCCCTGCTTCGACCTGAATGACGGGCTGCGCACGGACGGGTCTGCATAAGATGGGCTTAAACAAGTATCCAATAAGACTATTATAATCTATTATATATGTTGATAATATAGTATCCATCCACATTTTTTCATGAATCACCATGAAGGAAGATTCGGACGAGGACCACCTCTAGCTGAGCTAGGGGTCTACTTGCGTGGCCCCGCAGTTTTTGCTTCGGATCACCTGGGTCAACTGGGTCGCTCCTGGAGCGAGGACAAAGTTCCGACTGATTGCACTGGAGGATCTGCTAAGCTCAAAGAGCTTGGTCATGATCAGAGTTTCGATTTCAAAGAGTCTGCGGGATTGCTGGCGACGCTGCGGGGTTGCTGGGGTTTGGTCCGGCTGCTTGAAAAAGCCTCAGCACTGACCTTTGGGTGGCGCTGCTGTAATTCTTTAAGTTTCCGGAATCGGCTTTTACCCCCTCTTCAGAACTTAAGCCCACAAGGTGACGGGAGGCCCAGTGGGCATTCACTGGTCGGACACACACCGGACATGACCGTTCCGTGGTTCCACACGTCCATGGAGCGCCAGGCACAAAGACTGCCTCAAAGGAGCCAAGTCCCAAGCCCAGGCCAAAGATCGGCGCCTTTTTGGACATGTCGCATGTTCAAAGGAAGAAACAACGAAACTCAATGAAGAAGTCTGTATCATAGATGGTCACTTTTGTCATGAAGTATTGGTTCGCAAACCTGCTGCTTTGTTGAAGAGGTGGATGTGAGATGTGTGATGAATTTGTGTACAGATTGCCTGGGCAGAGATGGCTTTTGGTACCTAAGTTCTGTCACGGCATGTCACAGAACTTCTGCGTGACATGCTCCAACTTGATCCGCCCACCGCCTTGCTCAGGCCAAGAAAGAAAGACACCGGTCCACCCCACCGTCGACCGGTCCACGCCACGGTCCATCCGCCGTCGCCGACGACTCCGGCGGCGAATCCGCCGTCGAGGCCGAGATCGGCGCGGACGAGCAGCGCGGTGCGCGCGCGACGAGCAGCACGGTGTGGTTTGCCCTGAATCCGAAGCTGGTTCGAAGTGAGAATGTTGAGACTCCAGCGGAATTCGCATTTTTTGTTGTTGTTTTTGCAAAGTTGTTTGTTGCGCAATTTGTTTTTGGGGGATATAGAGTAGTAACATCTACTCTATATATATTAACAGATTCACATCGAAGTATATAAACATGTCAAACATATATCCCGTTGTTGTTTGATTTCAGACTTTGAGAAACATGTCAGGAATGTCCAATATCTGGCTACACTCTGGCTGCAAGAAGCGGAAAACATTCACTCCATGTGTCACTTTCGTTCGTGAGTCGGAGGGTTGGCAAAAAACCAGACCTAGTAGCTAGAAGCTACTAGGTGGAGGCCATCGCTATTAGGGTGGAGGCGATTCCTAATAGGTTCCTTTGGAAGCTACGAGCGTAACAAGGGCATTACTACTCACATCTCTGGCAGCGCCTGCAGGCACCTCTCCCACCAATGGGGCTTTGGAATAGTTCCCCACCATCGCTTCACTGCTTCGCGACTCCGTTAGGCCGGCCGAAGCTGGGCCGCCGCAGGCGCCGAGCGCGCATAACCGCGCGATCCCCCGAGGTTCAGCCCGTGGGCTCCCCCCACAAAGGATGTTGATGTTCTTCATTACTAGTAGCTTTTAGCTACTAGTAGCGATGCACTTGTTACTAGTACTATAGTAGCTGTATTGCAAATTGTAAATCAATGCGCAATCTGTATACCAGCTCCAGTTCCAGAATAACCCTCATTTCCTGCCGCGTCCCACGTCCAACAAACACCTATGACTCGTCGAATGACCACCCCCATTCCAAGTCGAGTAGCTTCGAGTCCGATCTCCAGGTACCGGAGAGCTCCTATCCTTCAAATGTGGAAGCTACAGTTCAGGAGCTTCTCAAGCTGGCCGAGGTGATCGAGGCGGGACACGTGTCCGGCTTCCGGGAATCGAGGGAATGGTGATACATGGCGGGAAAGAGACGAAAGCCAGCCGATAGGCTAGGCTGAAGTTCGGTTAGGCGAACGAAGTGTGAGTATTAGGGGGTGTGGGGGGGTGGTCGCACACGGGTGAATTTTGGAGGGCGAACCCAGAGCCTGGTCGGGGAGAGCAACGACAAGTATTTGCAGTTTGGGAGTAGTTTTTTTGGGTGTTGTGATGCCAGTGATGTATTTGACGGCCAGTAGTGCACTATTAGCATCATGAGCGGCTCAGGAGGCACTCTAAACCGTCTTCTAGGAAAGAGGAGGCAACGGGACGTGAATAGTGGCTGGAACTCCTTCATGAAACGAAGATGGCGACTGAAGCCGTGTTTGGTGAAAGGGAGGTGTGTGTCTCTTAAGACATTGTGCGATCTGCAGGGCGGGGGGAGGGCGTGGTAGGAAAAGAGGGTCTGTAAGAAATCTTGGAGTTGCTGGGGGTGCCCTCTTTAATGGTGAAGACGCCCGTCAACCATACGCAAAAGGGCACCCCATATGGGGTGCGAATTGATGTAATGATGCGGTCCGTTGAGGGCAGGAGAGAGAACAGAATGCAGCGGGCAAACTTTGAGTTGCTTGGGGACTTGGGGATGCCATTTTCGAACGAAGAAAGAGGCGTAGTAGCGAGACTCAAAAGGGCACCCCATATGGGGTGGGAGTTAATGTGGATGAGACAGGTGCAGGAGGACGTGATAGGAAAAGAGGGATTGCAAAAAACGATGTGAACCATTGAGAACGGGGAGGAAAAGAATGCAGCGGGCAAGCTTTAAGTTGCTTGGGGTGCCCTTTTCTTATGGTGAAGAGGCCTGTTGACCAGACGCAACAGGGCACCCATATGGAGTGGGAGTTCATGTGCAGGATAGGCATGGCGGGGGAGGATGTGATAGGAAAAGAGATGGGGAGCTCACCAGGGATCTCGCATTCACCCCCCATGACCGTATTGAATAATATTGATATCTTTTACGGCGGCTGGCTTTCGTCCGCTCCCTTCTCATGGTATTAACATATACTCTAACTATATGTGGTCATAAACAGGACCTAGGACTTTTTGGTGGGGAGGGCCAAGTCCGAAGTCTGAGATGGAGTGGTTGACCGCTCCAGTGACTGAACAACGGCTCCAAACATCCTTCCACGTTTTCTGAAACATCAGAGCTTCCGAGTGTTTTTCGTGCTCGGAATTCTGCCTTCATTTGTTCGGAGCTTCGAAATCCTGTTAGACTTCCTCGCTGCTGTCCAGTTGGTTTTTTGGGGACATTCCTCAGTTGTCAGACCTCCTAGAAAAGGCCATTGTTGCACGCTGTATCAGAGAGTCGTGCGGACTGTGCTTTGCTGTTTTTTTGCGTCGGCAGGCCGCGGAAGAAACCAAGGAAAAAACATTGGAATTGGAGCAGGAGGAGCTTGAGGTTGAGGAAATGGAGGAAGTTGAGGAGATCAGGTTTATAGCCTCTTGTTCAAAAGATTGAACTTAAAAAAATCCTTTCACATTATGGCAAGCCTGCCGAAAAGTGCTCAAGAGTAGATGTTTTCCAGAAGGAGGTGGAAGAAGGTGAGGAAGAGTCACGGGACGATGACGAGACCTTCAGTGAATGCTCAAGCGGTTCAGGCCAGGAAGACATCATAAATGTGTGCTAACTGACGTGTCCAGACTGAAAGTATATCTAAATCCATCACATTGGATCGCAGGGGTGTGTAATTTTTTTCATAACAACATGCCCAATAGGCATGTATCGGCGATAGATTGCAGGGGCAACGCCTTGGGGCCACACCCTGCGATAAATGTGATTTTTGATGCCTCGGGAATGCCTAGGAGTCCAAGGCCACGATTAAAAAAACGATCTTTAGGTGGTCCGAAAAGGAATTTCTTTTATTCAAGACGCTTCGCGTCGACAGCCGCCCACACCGCGCACGAACATCCGAAGTTAGGCGCCAGGTTGGCTGTTTTACAGCTGCGTTGGAGCCATCTTGGGGCCAACTTCGTCTACCTTGGGGCCCATAATGGTGATACAACTTCGGCATTGCCAAAAACCATCCAAACATACACCTCCAAAACGCTCTCCCCAGTGGCCCTGCAGCCGAGCAAGAATCAACGCAGCAACCGCCCCAAAACAACAACTCCTCCAAAACGCTCTCCCCAGTGGCCCTGCAAGCACGACGTAACGAATAATCATCCAAAAATGTACCTCCAAAACGCTCTCCCCAGTGGCCCTGCAACCCAACCATAGCCGCGTACGCGCGAAAAAAAAAGACTAGCAGAGCTATTTGCGTAGGATGTTTTTGCTAAAATGCAGAGCTCAAGAGCCCCAAAGCACGCCCTGCACCGACAAGCGGTGTGGGTGCCAAAAATGGTCGAATTGGACTTCTAGGGAATGTGCATGTTTCTTGTTCACACTCAAAGCTTCACACAGAGTTCGTGCCGAGCACAGGTTCGCCTCATGCCAAAGACAGGCCCGTGATGACGTCTAAACGTGCGACGTGTGTTTCGGTGCCAAGGGCCGAGTTTCTCGGTCCACATCCACCGGTCTTTGAACGGCCGACAAAATACATCGCGTGTTGGGTTCGGTGACATGACTCGGACCATGTGAACATACTAGACTCATTCTAGGATATATAGACATTTGCTCTATAGGTATTATATTTGCTCTATAAAAATCAAAGGGTTTTGAGATGCATCTTCATTTTGAGGCAGGTTCGTTCATTCGCCACGTTCGCTGGTTGAGTGTGGAGGCAAGTGTGGCGGCCTGGGCGTCCCAATCTCAATGAGATGCGTCCCATGATTTTCTGCAGAAAAAACAAAATTCTTGCTGTGTCGGTGGCCAAACAGAACGAGGAAGCCTCTCCAGGATGGTTGTATATTTGACAATGTCGAATATCCCAGACACGACCCGACGACTCTGGAACTGGCATATGCGACAACCTGTCGACGGGTGGTTGATTTCGGTCGTATTTGGCCGCGCCCGGCCGTATTTGGGTCACTAGAGTTGAACTTCCTCCCAGGTAGCCTTGATGAACTGGTACGGTAGCCTAGTCATGCCTAGTCCATTCTTAAATTCTTTGCATACATTTTTTTTGCGCATGAAGAAGAGTTCAGTGAACTGCTCCGTTTGGCGAACTGCTGGAGATCTTTGAAGGGACTTCGTGGCGGAACTTGGGAAAAGAACAGGTGTTCACTTGAAATCACTTCAAGATGCGGAAGATCATGAAGAAGAGAAACACGTGACAAGAACAGAGGGCATGAAGCAGATGAACCTTTTTGAACATAGAGCGGAAACGCAAAAGGATGGGAAAGGGGAGCAAGAGAGAAAGATCAAACAGTTGAATTACAATCCACGAACATATATAACCAAAAAACAAATTGTCGGGGAGAATGAGCAGTATAAGGGAAGACAGTCACAGACGGAGGATGAAGAGTCTGTGAGTGACTTGCAGTTCCAATTGGGTCTCAGCCAAACTCAGGATTTCGATGATATTCCCCTCCTGAGCTGAGCTGACAGTTTCACTTCTTAGCCAGGGTTGGGGAGTTCGCAGTTGGGTTCACCAACTGGTGTAGAAACATGTAGAAACGGGCTGTTCATGGATGTTCCCTTTGCAACAATTCTCTCAATGAGGGGGTCCAATAGTCCCACCCCTGTTCTTAGCGGCGATGAAGCTGAATTTCCGCCAGAATCTTGATCAGTTTCTGGGGTACCCGCCACACGGCGAAAAAAGACATGGATGCGACTGTGCTCAGTCTCGACATATGTCGACATGAAATGAATGCCGCACTTCGTTGATCTCCAAAGATTGCATTCATGTGACCGCGCCGCGCATCCGGCTCGAAACATGTTTAAAAGACCTCACTTACTTATGTTCAGAGACCCAATAGGGTCTCCAGGTCTTGAGCCCCGACGTCATGCCGCATGAGCCGCGCATCCGGCATCCTGGAGCAGACCAGGATCGTCCATTTCCAGCTCTCCTAACCAAGCTCCACCAGTTGGCAACGCCTGCGGTGGAAGATGAGTGGATCGAACCAGAGGAAGCGAGCCTTTGTGGCACGCCCTACCGAAGGCCACAGCAGAAGATCAGCCATGCCGAGTCGAAACCTGAGTGGTGTGTGGTTTTGGGGGAGGTGTTTGGGCGTTTTCGATTCAAGCACAAAGTTGCTGTCTTTGTCTCAGTCAGAGGCTTCTATCATCTTATCACTCACAGATACTCACCGATTCTAAAAGAACTGAAACATAAACATCAGAACAATTAAGGGCAATTGCTCTAATCCCGAGTACCTATTAAAAAACGGACCCCTATTAGAAAAAAGTCAGGTCGGAAACCCCTAAATACGGTTTATATGTTTTTTTTTTTAATTACCGCCCTTTCAAGCCGCTACTAAACTACCAACATTGCCGACTTTGGAGGAGTTTTGTTTATTAGGTTCCAAAAACAACCGTGACTGCCCACCTCTGTCCGCCCTGTCTATCCACCATGACACGCCGCGCTTACACCAGCAGGCTTTCCTTCCCCCAATGGCACGGACTCACGCAAACGCACTTGCCACCGAGGTCATGCAACACCGCATGGCACAGCGACATCACCTTTCGAAAGCTTTAGCTGTTAGTCTACTGAAGAATCACTATTCTAATGATGGTGTTTGTAGGGGAAAAGGAAGACCCTTCGATCTGGAGCTTTTTTGCATTTTTGATATGAGTTTAATAAAGGAGTTTATATAAAATTTTACGGACTTACTTTTTGGTTTTGAAGCTCTTCCCAGGTGACCCTATTTTGGACCCCCCGATTTCTGGGACCCCCTATTAGAAAAAATGCGACCGAGGTTTCCTTATTTGGGGGAGGGGGGGGGCCCGTGTTTTTTAATAGGTGGACCGGATTATAGATCTTGACTCACTGGAGTAGTTCTTGTAGCGTAACCTGAATCTGAAGCCTTAGCGTGTCGCGCCCGACATCCCATCGGATCATCTTCGCTCCCAAAACGGCCCGTTTCTTCACCCGAGCGACGCGACCGAGGTTGATGGCCCGACGCGAATTTCCCGCGGTCGCCGAGCGGATCCTTCGAGAGTTGCGCGGGGGGGACGGGCGCCGATTCAGCTCCCCTGCGGTGAGCACGATGGATGCCTTGCAACAAGCGACCTGGGCGCAGTGATGTTTGTCGGCCATCGCTTCTCTCAGAGCCAGTGATGTTTCAGTTCATTCCGTTTGATTTCCGGGAATACGACGGAGTCTGGGAATAAGATGGAACAAGCCAAGGGTCTCCAAGTTATGCTCTAGTTCTTTGGTGACCCCCAAATCACGAAAAACGTGGTGATGGTGAGTTTGGGTTCCGCATCTGTCCCTTTCCCAGACACTATGTATGCCATATTTGGTATAATATACATTCTAGTTCCATGGAGTGTTTGGGTTTTGGATTCCATTCCGGACGCCGCACTTCGCTCTCTCTCGCCACACCGAGCGGTGCTGCCGCGGCCGAGGTTCTGCCTTTGTCGCCGAAGGCTCCTGGAGCCCGTCGCGCCACCGTGGCGGCAGTGCTGTCGCTGGCGCCGGAGGAAGACGGGGTCGTCATCCCTCGTCGGCGTGAGCAGACCTGGGCGGGACAGGAGGTGGAGGAGACCCGGAAGCTTGCAGAACTGGAGGACACAGAGGAGGAAGTTCCTGCTGTGCATCGACAACCCTCTGGAGAGTCCATTGCAAGCTCGAGTGCTTGCTGGAAACACCCAGACAGTGCAGCACCGAGATCTGTGAGCAATTTTGCAGGAAAGTAGCTTCAATTCGGCCATCCCTTTGGGTCCCTTCGGTTTGTTCTGAGCATGTATTCACCCATTGGCCCAAGTTCACCCCCAGCAGAGAATTGATGTTGACCCCCATCCCACCCGAGCAGCAAAAACATCGAGGTGTGATTTTCATCATTGACTGGGACGACACCATCTTTCCAACGACCTGGATACAGAAGAAGGACCGCCCTCCCGTCTCGTCTTGTCTCGTCCTGCCGAGTGACAGTGAGAGCGAAGCGAATGCGAAGCGACTGCGAGTGGGTCACGTCGTCTTCCGGATCGAGTCCCTATACCCAGACACTCCATGTATGGAATATATGCCTACATGGGGGTGGTTTTGGAGGTCAATGTATATAGGCATATATGGCAGTCCCACGTGTCTGGGATAGATTCCGAAGCGCCTTCCTGTCTGGACGACGACGCCTTGCGGCCGTGACGTTTCGACTCCCAGGATTGGTTTGGCCAGTGGACGCGAGCCGTGAAGCTGGGTGAACTTCTTTGCAGCGAAGATCTTGATATCTCATCAGAAGATCAAGCATTTCTGGATGAGTTGGATCGAGTTGCATCGTCCTTCCTTCTCGCGGCCAGCTATCTGGGACACGTCAGTCGCGTGGACCAGTCCGTGGACATCGACCGTTCGGTCCGAGCGAAGTCGTTGACTGAACTCGGTCGTGGTGAGGGCAGCCAGCAGCACCGGAAGGCATGCCTTCGGCCTCCAACCCCACGGCAGCCATGGCCTCCAACCTCCAGTGCGGTTTTTGTGTGTGTAGATCCCTCTGGATGAAGAAGAAACCACCACAAAGGAAAGACATCCGACCACGACCCAGCTCTTTCGGTCAGACGACTTGCGAGAAAATCACCCTGGGTTCTAGCGATGGCATGTAGAATAACTTGATTCGAGATCAAAGTTCCATGATTGTCAGTTCGGGGGTCGGTCTCCCTCGTTGGGGAGCGACCCTGCGGTTGTGGGTTCTGCGGTTCTGATCCTGCACACAGCGGGTCATTTCCAACTATGCCCAGGTTGTGTGACGCTCGCTCAAAGACCTTGGCAAACACGAACCATGCAAGCCTTCCTTCCAAAGCTGTAGAAGACTCAGTTCCTTTCAGCTCCTTTCAAAGGATCAAGTTGCATGAAATTGAGTATAGTTTGCTGACATTTGCTGGCTTTGACATGTTCTTGCTTGGGTTTGCTTCATGTTCATAGTCGCTCCTTGTGGCTGGCCAGCAGCCCATGTCCACAAGAGTGTCGACGCGCTGCTAGGTCCACACAGTGGGAGAAGCTTCAAGTGTCTGTGAGCTATGCTCGAGAGGAGAAGCCCCTGGGACCTCGATGGAACATCGAATCTCATGGGAATGAGTCCCCTTGTGCATTTTTTTGAACATAAAAAAACTTGAACATAAAGTAACATAAAGGAGCCTGGGAAGAGCTTGGCTGCAGCTGAAGTCCGTTCTTTTGCGTCTTGTTTCTATCTTTAGCAGCTCAGACGCGAGCTCGGCACAAACCTGAGGGCCTTTCATGGGAACGATGTCTTCAGCGATCCCAATCCGTCGGAGTACGAGATGTTGCGGGAGATGGCCTATGCCAAGAAGAAGCAGAAGGCCCACGGAAGAAGCAAGAAGCGACTGACTGTGAGGTCATGTTCCGAGGGTTTTTTGGGTCTGAGCCGCCCAGTGGGTGGAGCTGCTCTTTCGAAATCGTCCGATTCACGAAAGGAGCACGGCACAGGACGTGCCTTGTCGTTCCTTTTCGTTCGGACACCGGACTCGACCCGTGGGGGAGGTGGGGTGCCATGCAGGGATTGATGTGGACCGTTTGCCGTTTTCACTTGCTGCGCATGGGCTCCGCACGGCCGCTCCGCAGCCGCGGGGGGCTGGTGCGGGTGAGCACCGTCCGACGCCCGCTGGTGCGCCAGGTCCGGTTGATGAAGTGCCCTAAGAGTCCTGAGACCATCCATGGCAGGAATCCAGACCCTCACAAAACCCTTTAGATTTGGAGGAGAGTCTTTGTGTCCGGTTGCAGCGCAGTCTTCATGGGATCATATTATCTCCCATGATATTCGGACTCGAATATGGGAGGTGTTGACGTCTGTAGAAAACGGGCATTCTTTAGTCTCAAGGAGGTAAACTCACCGGGAAGGGGTCAGGTAGTGCATTTTCTAGCGACCTGTAGGTCACTAGGAAATGAGAAGCACAGGTCTCATAGGCATGCTGGCAGGGTCATTTTCTAGACATCACCTTGTTTTCTTGATCCCACCGTGATCCTCATTTTCTAGTGAGATGCCCCATTTTCTAGCAAACATGATGAATCATGATGAGTCAAGACGGAGTTTAAGCAAAACATAACAAAACATAAATTGAAAATCCTCGAGATCTAGAAGCAGAAACCTCAAGAAAGACCTTCAGAATATTCAAGACACACCCCTAATTTTCAGTCCGGATATCATGGGGGAAGGGTGGACGCAAGCGCGCGGAGCGATTTTTTTGCGAAGGGCATCGCGACTAGGAGCAAGGATGCTAAACACTGATTCACGAGGCTGCGTTCCTCATTTCCTAGGGTGCTGACATTCATCATTCCCCAGGAAATCACTAAAGAATGACCAGGACTGACCCCTCCATGTGATTTGCATTGGGGGATCATACCCAGAGACTCCAAATGCACCAAAAATTCTGCCACCTCAGCAAAAAGCGCCTTTACCCGTAATTTGGCCTGAAAAAGGGCATTCGGCGTAATTTGCTAAAACCAAGATAGACTCGGCGTTTTTGGTTTTTGAGGTTCT